AATTAGAACTTTATTTATCAATGAATATATTATTGAACCGTAATAGACGACCAACTTGAATCAAGTGAAGAGCACGACGAGAGACGTTAGCCGAAAGGCTACGGGGGAAACCGATTAGGGCCGAACACTCGTACAGGCCCTATACACTCAAATATGTCGGAGACGCTGATTTCCAACACTCCCTCCCGTCTTCACATATTTGCGTCAAGTCTCAAATCTCAAATACAAAATATGATATGTTTACAAATATATATGAACTTTTTAACAATAACAAACTTAAATCCAGTTATAGGAACAGATTCAGTCTTTTGGTTCCTTGCTTTGGCAATTGGTCGTCTCATTAACTTCTGTTTCTCCTCTCGTTTAACTCTCATTCTTTAGATTGATCAGATCCATTACCTGTAATTAAAACAAATTAATTTTCAAATGGTTTCAGTCGTTACATTCGTCACTCAGTATTGTCACTCGTCTTGTTCAACACAATTTCTGTCAGTCGTTTAAAAGTCCCATAGGGAAGAGGTTTAGTAATAGATCTGCTATTTGATTCCTTGAAGGAATCCAGCCTATTTTAATGAAGTTTCTTTCTACACACTCTTTCACATAGTGTTCTCTCACTTCAGTCATATGTCTCAGCTTATTTCCACCACTCGTCTGTGCACTCGCCTCAGCTGCTTTGTTGTCACACCATAGTTGCATTGGAGTAAATGATTGATCCAAGATTATTTTAAGAGAATTGTTCATAGCAATCAACTCTTGACTTGCTTCGCTCATCGCAACGTATTCTGCCTGACAAGTCGATAGTGCTACATAATTTTGTTTATGAGACTTCCAGGCTATTGTATCTCCATACAGTTGTATTAAAAATCCACTCGTTGTGATGGAGCCTTTGCAATCAGCAAAGCTAGCATCCGAATACGCTCTTAGATCATCCTGATTAGACAAATAATTCAGTCCTACATCCGTCGTTCCTTTTAAATATCTAAACACTCGTTTCACCATTTTCCAGTCATTATCCACTGGATTTATTTGATGTCTACTTAGCACATTGACTGCATAAGCTATATCTGGTCGTGTTGCACCAGCCAGATACAATAGACTTCCAACAGCTTCTCTATACGGAATATTTTCATTCGTTTTTGTCACTCGTAGCAGCTCTGGATCCTCACTCTCTTCTCTAAGCTTTCGTTCTCTGTTGGCCGCCTGTGTTGTAATCATAGGAGTTTTCTGTGGATGTGATTCTGAAAAATTAAATCTCTTCAGTATCTTCTCTATGTACCGTTTTTGATTCAGGACCAATATTTTATTTTTCCTATCTCTCGTTATACCAATACCCAAAAATTCTTTTGGTACACCTAAATCTGTCATTTTAAATTCACTTTTTAATCGTTCTTTCACTTCTTTCAGTTTATTCTCATCATTACTTGCAACTAAAATATCATCAACGTACAACAGTAAAATCAAAAACTTCTTATTATTCCGCCAGGTAAACAAACATGGTTCTTCATTGCAATTAATCAGGCCTATACCTAGAGCTACTTCTGTAAACCTTTTGTTCCAACGTTTTGGACTTATTTTCAAACCATATAACGCTCGTTTTAGTTTGCATACTTTCTCTCGTCTGTCGGTATCACTTATTTCAATTCCATCAGGTATTTCCATGAAAATTTCCTCATCAATCGTCCCATTGAGGAAAGCAGTTTGCACATCTAGCTGACAAACTTCCAGATCATATTTATTTATAATGGCCAGCACAGCTCGAACTAGTGGTAGTCTGGACACCGGAGCATAAGTCTCTTTCAGCTCGTAGACGTTTCTGTCTTTGAACCCTCGTATAACCAGTCTTGCCTTGTGTCTTATTTCACCATCATCCTTTACTTTCCTTTTAAATACCCATCGAGAATCAATTATATTCGCTCGTTTACCATCACTCGTTAGTTTTGGTCGATCAATGATTTCCCACACGTTATTTTCCGACATTGATTTCAACTCATTATCTACTGCTTCTTTCCAGTAAATAGATTCACTCGATGACATGGCTTGTCTGTAGGTAGCAGGATCCTCATTTATTCTTGCCAGCATTGCACAATACATTTCATCTTCTAGGTTTTCTATTTTTCTATCATAGTCGTCATTTAGTTTAGATGTAAACATAATTTTACCTTCAATTTCTCTATCACTCATGCTTAATTCACTCTGCCCATTATTATTTGTTATTATGTTATCACTCGTCACATTCGTGTCTGTTATTACAGGATTTTTCCTAGGTCTTCCTCTTTTTTCTTTTTATTGGAATCTCTCCCTCCGTTTTTAACTTATCAGTACATTCGTTTATATTTTCAGAGAATTCCACAAACCATTTGTCTTTTTCTGTTTTCCACTCTTCAATTGGCCAGTTTCTAATGCTGTCTTTACCGTATTTGTCGCCATAAACCAATTTCTCGTTAAATCGCACATCTCTGCTCTCGTAAAATTTTCCTTCTTCAGGTTTTAAAAATTGGTACCCAGTGGGAGTATAGCCAACTAACACCACTCGTCTTCCTTCGAAACGGAACTTTGGTCCAGTCTTCCGTTGAACTTTAATGTAGGCAATACAGCCAAAACGTTTAAGTTGGTTTATATCAAAATTATGATTTGGTGCAAATCTACTCATAGGAGTTATCATGTCATTTGCTTTATGAGGGGTCCTATTATAGGCATAGACAGCTGCACTCAAAGCCAAATCCCACATGTTCTCGGGTAATTTTGCATCATACATGTAGGCTCGCACCTTCTTCTGTATAGTCTGATTAAACCGCTCTGCAACACCGTTATGTTCAGGGGTATCAGGACTAGAGACCTGTAACTCTGCACCTAATTTATTTAAAACCTCTGTCGTATAACCACCTTTAAATTCAGTTCCCTGGGTCAGAGCGTAAATAGCACACTTTGGCATCTTTTCCAAGCAGATTTCGCGCACTCTTCACAAATGCTTCAAAGCAAGCACCCGTATCACTCTTAACTTTCATCGCATATGCCATTGCCAATCGCGAATAGTCATCAATGAATACAGATATAAATTTGTATCCTTTAGGATGAGAAGGTGGACTAATTGGTCCCATCGTATCTGAATGTATAATCTCCAGTGGAGCATTCGCTCGTCTACGCACTGTTTTAAATGGCAACTTGTTTATTTTAGAAACCATACAGATCTCACAATCCATGATCGATTGATCGAACACGATCTTCTGAAGCTCTTTATTCTCGGGTAATTTTCTTTGCAATGCCTTTAAATAATTTACTGAAGCATGCCCCAGCCTGACGTGCCATAACATTGCTTTGTCATAATTTGTTTTATTATTACACTCGTTAATGGAGATTCAATATCTGTTGTTTCTGTTACTGGCAATTCATTTGGATCGTTAATTTTCCTATCCCATATGGTTGTTTCAAAGTTAAAGTTTTGATACATTTTATTTTTCATGTTTACATTCTGATCATCAGTGATACTTGACTCAGTGTATCCAGTCAGAGTATTACTATTGGTCTTCCTTTCTCTGTCTTCAGTCTGTACTTTGTTCTCCCATTCGTTCACTCGTACCTCTTCACACGCTTCCACTCGTTTGTTTTCACCCGTTTCTCTTGCCTGCTCTCAATCGTTTCCACTCTTTCTGTACCGTCTATCGTCTCATCTGTTGTTTTTGATTTCTTTGCTCTCGTACACTCATTATCATTTTCGCTCATATCTGTTCGGTTAATAAAATTTCCTCAGCACTCGTTTTGTCTTCTGTCGCAATGTTTCGCCACATACATCTTGCTTCATTTACAGTTGTTTTGTAATCACTCGTCAAGTCAGCTAAAATATATTTGTTAGATCTTTCGCATGTATTACTCTCGTTTCCAGCCGTATCTCGATTGATTTCCAGTTCAATAATCCAATAGGGTTTATTATAAACACCTGTAATGAATAGCTCATTCGAGACTGGATCAAATATATTTATCCTTTTCTTATCTAAATATATTGCTAATCCCATTTCAGCGAATTTTCTCAGGGACATAAGATTATCAGAAAGAGCCTCCGCAAATATAACGTTATCAATTTTCATAACTTTGTTATTGTCCAGGATTACTTCAACCTGGCCTACTCCCTCCGTTCTCAGGTCCGCTGAAGGATTTTTATTAGCACATTTTATTGTACCGTAGTCTTTTACGTCCAGGGTCTTAAAAATTATTCTAGAATTTGTGAGATGTTCTGTCGCACCTGAGTCGGCTAAGAACTTGGCTACTAATCTACCTTCGTTATTTACTCTTTCTCTATCATCATTATACTCGTGTAAAATATCATCGTTTCTTAACTTAGAGTTAATATCAGCCAAGAATGACTTACCCTTTGCAGTATCAGCTGATTTCTTATTCCCATCATTATTTGATTTGGGCTGTTTGAAGTTCTTATTAACATATTTGTAGCCACCTCGACCTTTATTTTGATTGAATCTGCCTCTCTTGTAATTATAACCTCTCGTATTATCGTCATTTCTCCTTTTCAATGTCTGTCGTCTGTCGTTAATCTGTCCAGATTTTTGTAAGTTTTTATTGTAATTATACCTGCCATTACCTCTTTTATAAACTCGACCACTCGTAGATCCTTGCTTCTTTAGTCTTTCCTGTCTTTGAGGACACTCGTCAGCCTTATGGTTTGTGAACTTATTACACTCGTAACATTTCACAACACCTGTTCCTTTTCGGGGGCAATCATAACTGATATGACCAAAATCAGAGCACTCATAACATCTCGCACTCGTACCTTTCTTAACTGTCATTGCTGCTCTGGTCTCTCCTGATTTTGTCTGATTTCGATTTGCCTCTGCCTGCATCAAAAACATTTTCAGACTCTCATAATCTAAACCCTTACCAGTCCCACTCACTCTTATAAACTCAACAGCTTGAACCGAAGGAACCGTGGTCATAATAGCATTATAAAATGTGTCGCGTTTTTCCTCCTCAGAAAAGGTCGCAGTGTCTGAGATATTCCCATAATCGCGTATGCAGTTTTCAAACCTTTCACAAAACTCAGAAGCACTCTCTTTATCTGGTGAATACTGCATGGTGTGAAAATTCCTTCTAATCATACTAGTAGTTAAATTCACCTCATATCGTTTTAATTCTTTTATTTTATTTAGTATTTCGACAGGATCTTTTAAATGAGCTACCTTTGTGTGATAGTATGACTCTAAACGATTTATGAGAATATCACGCACTTTGAATTTATGTTTTGTCAAAGTATTTGCATCATAATTTTTAGTCGGTTTTTTCACTCGTGTCAATTACATACAATAGTTCAAGCGATCTCAATTCTGAAGAAAAATAATCGTAAAAGTATTCAAATTTCGTTTGATTAGTTAATTTGTAATCACGGCGCGTACCCACATCTTTACTTATTATCTCATACTTTATTGCATCTTTAACATCATCAGCTCTAACGTATCTGTCGTCATTCTGTCTTACATTGCTATTTAAATTGTGACCACTCGGTTCTCCCAGATTGATGTCTGAGCTTCTGTTCTGGGTCATGCAACTCACATCAGGTTCACACTCTTTTACCTGTTTTATATTACACTCGATTTTCTCTACTTGTTTACCCAGATCACTCATATTTTGTCGGTTACGACATAACTCTTCCATAATTTCTGATTGCCTTTTCTCCATGCTTTTCATAGTTTCAGTTAAGCTAGCCAACATTTTGGACTGCTGCAACAGCATATTGTCCATGGCATTGAAGCAAGGTATCCAGGCAGTCGCCTTTTCGTCAGTCTTTTGTTTAGTTTCTGTATTTGTGTCATCTAAACAATTTTTATTGTCAGATTTATTCAATAGTTTAGGAACGTTAAATTTCTTTAGAGATATTTTTACCGGTTTTGTCTCAATTATTTTAGGTAGACCTTTACCTTTTGTCTCAGTGGCCAACTGAGTTATATTATCTCCTTCTACATTATGAATCATAGCTCTCGTTGTGTTGACACTCCTCTTATAACTAGTTCCGTCATATCTAGTTCCCTCGTCACTCTTTCCGTCGTCACCACTACTGTCGTCATTCGTTCTGTCGTTACTGATTCTCTCGTCACTCTTTCCGTCGTCACCACTACTGTCATCATTCGTTCTGTCGTTGCTGATTCTCGTAGCCAACCATTGTTCCTCTACAGGATCAACTATTTCCTGTTTCTTTACAGTACTCGGCAGCACAGCTTTCACACCCTGTTTCTTACATTTGTCCAGCCATACTTCTAGCGCTTTCAACTCCTCTTTGGTAACAAATGTTTTAGCTGCAATATATTGAGAAAGAATAAAAATCTGACATTTGGCAGGATTTTAAATCATGTCGTTAGCTGGATCCACCGAACACAAGTTTCTCCAGACTAAGACGAGCAAGTATACATTTACCCGAACACAAGGTTACACATATACAAACTCTACTCTCATACATAGTAGCCAAATGCACGGCACTCAACCACCAAGCATGAGTAATTTGATTTTAATGGTTTAAAAATTATTATTTAGAATGTCTTCAGACATTCATAGGTCTTTTATTATTCGTGCTTTAAATATGCACAGTTACTCGAGATTTTTAATAATTAATTTACGATGCATCTTAATTATAATTTCATTTGTATAGCTATACATATTTTCTTGGAAATATTTCAAAAATAAAATAAAATACCCTTCGCTCACCTGCTTTGTACTCAACACTCGTCTGAGTTTTTAGTGAAATATAATTTTCATGCAGGGATAACTCAATTTCCTCATTTGGGTGGTTTGCTTTAAGCATAAACACACCCTCCAGCTTGACCATAACATTTTCAAATGTCATGTTATCAAGCATTTCATTTAACGTGTCTATTTCAAAAGCTGTAGGAATGAAAAGAATTGTTAGTTTACATGCAAACATATATTTTATAGTTGATCAACTTTTATTTAATTTAGTGTAGCGAGAATTTGGCCCGTAGTTCGAGACAAAGAGCCAGTAATGCGTCTTTCATTTGTTTGTTTATTATTATTTTTTTTTCATCTACATTCCTTCGCTCGTTGTCTAGCACTCGTTTTCCCGTTCAACTGTCTGATCATGCGCACAACTCGTCAATTGTCGTCACAATGGACTCTCAAATTCCCGCCAAGCCAAACCTCGCCGCACGATCGTGCTTAGTTTCTAATTTATTTGTACTTAATCATGATTTTATTTTTTTATTTTTATACTAGGCCTAGATTTTAAATAACCTTTATTCAGTAAAATGAACAATGATTTCTTTGTTTTAGCTAAACATTGGACACTCGTTGACTATTTTCCAAACCGTGTCATCACTCGTCAAACCGCCTTTCATTTAATAATGTATACATTAATTTTCTTGTTCATTTTACTTTAAAAGAATTGATACTAACTCGACGACACTGTCGATCCTTCTTTGTCTTTGTTTTCAGCCATTGAAACTGCAAGTCTTCTTTGTTAGATTTTCCAAAATCACTTACACGTTTCTCTTTACTACACCTTTTATAATTTAACAAACACTTTATTAATCTGCTCAGTGAAAGCGAGCTCTGGGCCCATAACCTGTTAGAGGTTATGTGGATTTAAACAATAATAATAAGACTTAGTTTAATTAGAAATTAGAACTTTATTTATCAATGAATATATTATTGAACCGTAATAGACGACCAACTTGAATCAAGTGAAGAGCACGACGAGAGACGTTAGCCGAAAGGCTACGGGGGAAACCGATTAGGGCCGAACACTCGTACAGGCCCTATACACTCAAATATGTCGGAGACGCTGATTTCCAACATAAACATTCATCTAATAATTAAGTTATTAATAATTTGATGTTTCTTCCAAGCAATTGGATGTTTTTTATAGAAATTCTTTTGAAAAGCTATTTTATTGGCCAATAGTTGGATTCAGTTATTTTATCATCAAGATGTCATTATATGTAACCAAAATAAAAATCACTATCTCGACATTATGATGAAAAACTATTTCTAATAACTCAATAAATTCTTCCATCTCTTTTTTGAAGAATTTTCAATACTTCTAGTAACAGACTTTCTATAAATATAAAAAAAATCGATCTATATCAATCTTCAATTACTGATGTAATGAAATTTTTCATACAGTTGAAAAGAAAATTTATCAGTTGAGGTAAATTTTTAAATCTTTTACTTTGTCAGGTACTTTATTATTATTATAATTCAATTTATTATTAATAGTAATTAAAAAAATCCAATCAATGTCAATAAGATAAATTAACAAAAAATAAACAGGCAATTCTATTCATCATTGAAAAATATTATAAAAATATAAATAAATGAACGAGAACCTTGAAAAATTCTTTTAAAACAAATTTAAATTTAAATAATTAAAAAAAATACAACTTTCTTTTATATGAATCCTTCATTATTTATATTTCTTGAAGCTTAAAAAAATCATAAAAAATCCGTGACCTGGCAGATTTTTCTTCAGAATGACTAGACGATAAGTAGGAGCATAAATATATACATTCCCACATATTTTTCATATTCATTTTTTAACTTGAGTAAAACAAACGCTCGAGTGATTCATTTCACTTGATCCCTTTGCTCCACTGCCACCATTAATATCAATAAATCTCATATGATGATGACTTGTTCCTCATATTCTAATCCAATATCACTGAATTGTTTATCATGTCATAGTTGCATACAAATATTATCCAGTACATAGACTATCATAACTGCTATATTTATTTACACTTATAACATTATTCAAAATAAGCTAACTATGTAAATCATCAAGCCTTATTTATTGATGTCCATGAAATTTATTAGGTATCAGAGAAGAAGATAACACAATGTATGTCGAATCTATATATTGTTCTCCAACAACAAAGTTTTTGAGGATTTTCTCTAGAGATCCAGTAACACTTGGATGGAATCTCCATTTCCTGGTCTTACCTATACTTAATTCCCTGGAGAACCTAACTGTCGTATTTTAACCTTGGAGAGTCTAGTAAACTCCAAGTGAACTATGTTAGAGCACGTAAATCCAGAAAAGTCAATCGATATACTTTTGTAAAGAAATGATAAAGAAAACAATTTTATTCAAATGAAATAAAACTGGTAAAAGTCTTTGATGGTACTTTCTTTACATTAAACATTTTGCTGTCTTAAATTTTATTTATTTCTTGAAAATTTAGTGGTTTTGCGTGTTTACCATATACACTTAACTTGGTAAAAGCCAAACAGAATTTTTCATTAGCTATTGAAATGTAGTTTGTTTAAATAATAGATTTTCAAGAGTTTGAAAGAATTCAAGTATACTTATGAAAGTTGAGTATTCTTTGGAAAGGGAAATATAAGAATGTAAAAAGAGATTAGATGAATAAAGATGATTATTGAGAAATTCTTTTTTAGTTTTGATATCAAAAAAGTATGCTTCTTTTCTCATTTTAAGACCAACTTCAAATAATGAAGATGATGGCAATGTTGAAATGAACAAAAACTTATTATCTAACTAAATCTTATTATAATAATGTTGGAATATTTTTTTCTGAAAATTCAACTTATCAAGTTACTTATTTGATTTAAAAACCAAAAAAAAATAGTTTGAATATCTTAATAAGTTGTAAGAAAAAAAGTTAATCCATTCTAAGTTAATTTCTAGGAAGAAATAGTCGACTGGTTTTGGTCAAAGTATTACTGAGTATCAAATAAAGTTTTCAAAGAATTAAGCGTCAAAGTTGTAATTCCCTTATTCATTTAATATCAGCGTCAATTATTTCTTACATCTTTTGAAAGTTTGAAGCAAATTAATTAAGGTAGAGTTTTTAGTAACAATCAGACCTTTTTCATTCGATTCATTTTTACAATTTAATTCTTTACTTAATTATGAATTTTTGATAAAACAATTTAGACTTTTGTTTGAATAATTGTTGTACCAGTGATAGTTATCCTTGAAAATATCGAGCACTTGATTAATTGTAGACTAACATGCTCTTGTAGATTGAACAATAACTTGGTGCAACTTTTACACTTTCTCAACTGCAGTGCAAAATACTTTGACTCTTCTGTTCGACTATGTGTCAAGTTCGCCCGATGTTAATCGATACCACGAGTGGCCCGGTTCCCTTGTACCCGGACGCCACCTACTTCACGGTCGTTACAAGGTTACCATTTACAAAATCAGTAATGAAAGGGATAGAAGGTGAAAATATATCGCATCTTATGCATGCAATCATGAAGGAAGAGAAGTAATATTAAACTGAAATTTACATTGAATGATAAGAAATCAAAGTGTTGCATTTCCATCAAGGTTTTAAATTATAAATAATTTATTCAAACAAACATCTAGCTTGATTTCAGTCTGTCCAAGTTCAATGCTCTAAAGTGATCTTGACAGTTCAAGAGTGCAGTCTAAGCTGGTGTCTAACACCGAGTCCTTTTTCAAGGATTTGCTGGAAAAAAGAGTTTGAAACAAGGATGAATGATAGTTGCAGTTTTAAGGAAACAACAGGAAAGCTTCTCTTTGTAGGAAGCAAGACTGGTCCAGTCCCAGTCTAACATTGGATCAAGGTTGACCAGATTACTCCAGTTTTGCTTGCTGCTAGAGGTTGGATACACTGGAGACAAATCATGAGTTGTGATAAGGATGACCTAAGTTGTTATAGTAATTCTTGTTCAACAATATTTTTGGTGATAAATTGAAGGAAAAGTGAGCAAAGATTTGGAACAGTTTGGGTTATTTATTGGCATAATGTAAACGATAATTTTCCAAGACATTGTGAGAGTTCAAATGAAACAATAAATTTTTTTTATTTATTTTAAATACATGAAATATCTCAGCATGAACTTGCAATTACTCGGAATATTAATTATTTTGATAAATTCAGTGCATTGTAAACCAAACCCTTTAAAGTTCTATTATGAAGTACTTCTATAGAGAACCACTATTGTCTAGATAATGGGGTAGTGTTCATTTGGCTAAAATGAATATTGCGTGGGTGCTTGTAATGTTATATTTCGCTACATGTTATTTTCAAAACCAATGAATTTTATTTGTAGGCTTCACTGATAATTACTGTTAATTAGATACATAGAAAATATATTCGTCTGTTTATATATTAAACTGAACATTTGTATTACGCTAAACATTGATAAAAGGTATTAAAATACATCTATACTCCGATTTCTTGATTCCAATATAAATAGAACTAATTTCTGAATGAATGAACTCATAATGATAAAATGTACTTATTTTGGAATTTAATTGTTACATAAGACTTTATTTAAACTTCAAAGAGTTACCTGAGGATATACCTTCCAAGTCTCAATACGAAATGTAATTGATGTTTTTTATAACTAAATATTTCTTATTTTTAGATAATCCTATTTGAGTCATATGAAGTCACATATCTGTACATAATATATTCTATTTTTGGTTGACATCAACAATCAACTACGTCAAAAGTCAAATCTGTGATTAATCCATTTATTTACATCAACTTTATCACACAAATTAGATTTTTTCATTGAAAAGCTCTACAATTGGGTCAAGGTCGTTTATTTAGACGTTGATCTTATAACAAAAAAATCATTAAACTCATCTTGTGAAAGAGAAATTATCATTTACTGTTAATTAATGAAGTTATTGAAGATGGAAAAAATTAATCAGACTATTTATTAAAAATGTTTTAATTTTTTTTTTATCAAAGCACGTTCTGCTAAGTAAATGGAGAAGTTTATGAAATGTCTGGAATGAACAACCCACATCGTGTGAGCAGATAAGTTTTTTTTTTAATGGATTACCAATCCTGTAAATCAACAACAAGCCATTACACGATTTGAGATTTAATTTCCTCTCCTGTCTTTTACAATCGTTAGCTTAGTTATCAACAACGAATGAAAATTGTTTTATACTGATAAAAATAATTGAAGTAATTTTTTCTTAAGAATTGTAGGAACAAAAAAGGAAATGTGTTATTGACAAATCATTTATAATTAGTTCATTTGTTCATTGACATTATTTTGATTTAATTTAAAATATAAATATTGATACAAATGTCATGTAGAAAATATGTATTTATGTTGTAGGAAAGAAACAAACAAGCTTGGTAAATATATAGTCTCAAAGAATTGGAGGTATTATTGTGACCAATATGTGGAGAACTAGGAATGATGATGGAGAACCCTGGTCACTACTGACTCTCTTGAAAAGAGCATTCTTACGTAGAAAAGTATTTTTCAAAGTTTGCAATTCCATTCACAATAGCATATGACTGTGTCCATACAAATATGTATATTTGCATTTCCCAAGTCCACCTACGCTATGAACTTCACATCGATGAGGTCAACATGATCCAAAGCAACTTTTACATACAAATGTTTTGAAAATGATAGTGTTGAGATGATAATCTCTCTGTTGGAATATTTCTGGAATACAGTCAGCGATAGCATGGCTAACTCTAATCCAGGGAAACTTAATTAATGTTGAGTCAGTCAGATTTTGAATTGTGAATGTATGAGACGTGGTTTTGGATAACAAATGAGAGTTTAACGTAGGGATAATTACATAGTAGTGAGACTCTAGTTCAAATCTGTTCCAACAACTGTTTCACATATTAAGAGTTATTTTTTTGGTATTTTTCTGTTAATAACTCGGGATCTATGAAGCTTATATAGAAAATGAGGATATCAATGAATTCGTGAGGATGAGATCTTTTTATTGCACTAGTTGAAATTATAATATAAATAATAATTAATGCTCAAATTGAAGCAAGTTCCGATTTTACCCCATTTTAGGAGTGAAATAATTAATTTTTCATATGTTTGACCTGATTCCGCATTTCTACGCATCAAAACGAAGAGAATGAGTGGTCGATCATTAAAATCGGACAACTTTGATTTTTCGACCCAAAAAAATGGCAAGTGGTACCCCTTTCCATTTTTTTTGGCCAAAAAATAAAAGTACTCCGATTTTCAAGTTCGACCACTCATTCTCTTCGTCTTGATGTGTAGAAATGCGGAATCGGAGCACCGGTCAAGAAAATTCACTTTAACACGGTCAAAAAGGGGTAAAACTGGATACACATTGAACATCATCATCCCTTTGACTTTAAACCTCTATAACTCGTGAACTGACGGTCCAATAACCATTTTTAGGGACGTTTTGGAAAGATTGAAATCTGAGCTAAACATGCATATCCATGAAAAGTGTATAAAAAATTTCCTTCACCCTTAAAAACGCTAAAATATAAAAAAAAATCACATTTTTGGAGGAGTTTGCCAACTATTTTGGCCATTTTGAGGGTGAAATAATTATTTTAAACGCTTTTCATCGATATGTATCTTTAGCTGAGTTTCTGAAGTTTCCGAATAGCTCTTGAAAATCATCATAAGATGATTTCTTCACGAAATATAGAGGTACAAAGTCGAAGTAAAGGTCAAAAAATCAACTTCTTTAGACTTTGTACCTCTATAACTCTTATACAAGTTATTGAATGATGATTTTTAAGAGCTATTTGGAAACTTCAGAATGTAAGCTAAAGATACATATCGATGAAAAGCGTTTAAAATAATTATTTCACCCTCAAAATGGCCAAAATAGTTGGCAAACTCCTCCAAAAATGTGATTTTTTTTTATATTTTAGCGTTTTTAAGGGTGAAGGAAATTTTTTATACACTTTTCATGGATATGCATGTTCAGCTCAGATTTCAATCTTTCCAAAACGTCCCTAAAAATGGTTATTGGACCGTCAGTTCACGAGTTATAGAGGTTTAAAGTCAAAGGGATGATGATGTTCAATGTGTATCCAGTTTTACCCCTTTTTGACCGTGTTAAAGTGAATTTTCTTGACCGGTGCTCCGATTCCGCATTTCTACGCATCAAGACGAAGAGAATGAGTGGTCAAACTTGAAAATCGGAGTACTTTTATTTTTTGGCCTAAAAAAATGGAAAGGGGTACCACTTGCCATTTTTTTGGGTCGAAAAATCAAAGTTGTCCGATTTTGATGATCGACCACTCATTCTCTTCGTCTTGATGTGTAGATATGCGGAATCGGGTCAAACATATAAAAAATTAATTATTTCACTCCTAAAATGGGGTAAAACCGGAACTTACTTTAATTTGAGCATTACTCATTATTTATATTATAATTTCAACTAGTGCAATAAAAAGATCTCATCTTCACGAATTCATTGATATCCTCATTTTCTATATAGGCTTAATAGATCCTGAGTTATTCGTAGATAACTAAGTTATGCTGCATCAATGAAAAAAAATTTTTTGAAAAATAATACTTTGACTTGATGTCAAATGAACATAAATATTGCCTTCTTACATAACTTAAGTTATCAGATGTTTCATAAGCTTTCAAGAATACTATAAAAATCTTCCGAAATTAATTTTTCAAAGCAGCTCTAAAAGATGACAAGAAATTGATTGTCGATTTATTTATTGCATTATCAATCTCCTTCTATATTTAATACTCGTTTTTAGCAGTAATCGTTTGAAAAGTTTTCTGATCGGAAGTCAAATGGGTGATACGACCGCACTAAGAAAGAAAAAAAAAATTTTTTTTCGTTAGTTTAAAAGCTTTCTTGAATTTCAAGATGTCAAATCGACGATTCGACGTCGTTCCCACAATAAACTTTATCATCCTCAGAAGGAGACCTGGAAGAGATGAAGTGAAAAAGAGATTGACACTTTGAGAATGAAACCGAAAGCCTTGAAGAATGTATTGTCGAGAGAAACTGAGTTATCCTGCCTGACTACAGGAATATTTTTACTCGAAAACATTTGCCAAAAAGAAGAATAAAATATTATCATCATTTTGAGAATTATCAGAGTTTTTTTTGTTCTTGGAATTTAAAACAGCTTTTCTTGTTTTCCTTCTTAGTGGAAGAGAATCTAAATTTTAAATTTTTCATCCTCAATTTCTGTTTACATTTTTTCTCTTTCAATTGTAGTTGAATTCAAAATGAGTAAATTATTGAGAAACTTGAGTTGATCATTAATGCATTGAAATTTAATATCTAATGTATATCCTAACCAGGTATTTTAAATTATTTTTTAACTTTATTTCTACAAAATTCGAAACTCGATATATTATCTTGTATACATGGTACAAATAATACATTTCATCCACTGTATTCCTGGATATTTATAGAAAATATTGATACCACAAAACCTTTCAGGATTTCCGCAAAAATATTTGTCTCAGGATTTTATTTTACAACTTGTTTTTTTAACATTGAAAAAAATTTCATTTACATTTAAAATAAAATTCTAAAGTTCATCTAAATTAATTATATAGCACATTAATTTCATTTTTAACAGTACATGCAGATAATTATTGAAATTACTGGCAACTGAAATAAATATATATTCTACAACATGAAACTTGTGTATTGATTGACTTCATATGGAACTGGTAATACAGGTGTGATGAAATAGTCGTTTCCTATAAATGGATCACTGAGGAGAAATGTTTAGCTTAAAGGTAAGCAACGAATATATTATCTCAAAGTGGAGACTGTAGCATAGTGTGTACCTAGTTTAATTATCCAATGTAATTATTATTCTATGCACGTGATTATCGCATTATCATCCTATCAGTAAAGCCCAATCGTTTAATACTCTGCTGATTTTTAAAAATACACAGAAGCATAAGTCTATCAATTATGTTAGGATTATCTAGTAATAATGTGGACTAAAAATTAAATAATATAAAATATTTATTGATTTTTATTTCAAAATAAATATATGTCATTTTAATTTTAAATAAAATCATCTTTCTATTTTATTGATATCTTTTTTTTCATTTACTTTTACATCAATACTCAATCCAACCCACGAGGTTATATAACAAAAAATTTCTTTGCATTTACGAACATTTTACGCCAATGCGCCATTCAACCCACGCCACATTCAATTTTTATTTCTCTTATTAATCTTTTTCTTCTTATTGTCTTCCTGGATCCGATGGCTCGGCCCATGAATTTATTAATCAGAGTAAATGAGGATAAATAAAATGAAGTTGAACAAAAAAAAAAAAAATGATTGTACCAGATACATGGCTTTATAACGAGCTGAAGAAAATACTTGATGATTTATCAGTTGGTTTTTCTGGATTGGATATTATTGAACTGGGTGTAGTATCGTACAGCATTACAGCAAGTCGTTATAAATCTTCATTATGGATCGGCGTCATTTGACTATATAGTATACTGCTGTGTACCACATAAACCATTGAGTAATCTTCTACATTGAGTTTTGGCACAACCAATTTTGCTTTCCAGTTGTTGTGCCAGTGAGTCTCTCGCTTGGAACCCCAGGTAATTTATTTTTCCATCTTGTCTTCATTTACCTACCTCACCAGTCATTTTGTAATCAACCGCCATGTTTCTCTCCTATGATTGGGTTTTTTATAAAAAAATGCTTAGTTTAAATTGCTTGAATTTTTTCCACTGGGTTATCTATCTTAGTTTGGTGTTTAGTGATTAAAAAAAAAAGTTATTTTGGAAGATTAGTTGAAGAGTTTTATCTACTACCAGTATCAAGCAAAGATGTTCTTAACAGTTTTCTTTCTAAATATTCAGTTAAGCAAAAAAATTGATTAGATGGTATAGAAATAAAAATTAAATTCATTTTCATTACAGTTTGAAGACATTTTTTGTTTTGTACTTGATTAGCATGATTTTGATCTACTTTAGGATGAAAAATTATTTTGCACTCTACTACTTTTTATTTAGCAAAAAAAATATTCATCAAATTTTTCCTTTTAAAGAAACTTCATGCCTGTTAAACATAACTTTAAAAAGAAATTCCAATTTGACTGCTTGGCTATATAGCGAAAGATGAATGTAAATCTGTCTATGTAAGTGCAATCTATATGATGAAAATAATATTTGACAGCATTTCGAAAACGGTTAGATAGGTTTTGATTCAGAAATCTAGAGATATGGCTGATGAAAGATTTTTTTTTTTGCATAAATTTAGCTATGAAGTTTTCAAAGAGAAAAAAAAAATATCTGGATAAGAGTTTCTGTTCAAATGATCAAAGATCAGATGGTATATTATGTCACTATTTTTATGATATTAAATTAAAAATAAATTATTAAAACCATCTCCAAAAAGTTTTAATCAAATTTAAGATTGCATAGATATAAAACTATTAAAAATGCTCAATTATTTTATGATAAAAAATTTTTTTTAATACAGCTTATGAATTATTAACAGCTTATTAATTATTATTATTATTATTTATTTATTTCCCAGTGGTAACAATAAATTAAAAAAAGGTAAACTGGCTGAATTTTGCAATTTAGAAATTCTATTATTTATTAATAAAAATCAAAATATTATTTGAGTAATATTATTATTATAATTGCATATTAGGAACATTTGTATAAATATAATAAAAATATCTTTTGAAAAAAGGTAGTTTAAAAACAAAAATAATAATAATTTATAGAATTCTAAACTGGTGTCAGTATCAGTAAAACATTACTGTTAATAATAATAAAATATTTTTAATAACAATTAAATATTATTAGTAATAAATTATTATTGATAATTACAGTAAAACAGTAATAATAATAATGAAAATAATGATGAATAAAATATATAATTTTTTTATTTTCTCTTTTAGGAAGTTAATCATGTGGATCTCGATATTTAATATTGCATTCATAGCTTGTAAATGATAAAAAAACATCAACAAAAGTAAATTATCATGAAATGATAAATTTTTTGTAATATTCCAGTTGGTTTCATAACAAAAAATATTAATCAACGAAATATTTCATCAAAAGTAGCAAAAAAAAAAAAAAAAACAAACACTCAACTTTTTGCAGTTCTATATCTAATAAAGTTTTTTTTTTTTCTTCCATCACTGAACAGTGATTAAAAACAGTCATTAATTACTAAATGATTTAAGATTGAATTCGAGAGTTCTATTCAAGTATCAATAAAAGTCTAACTAAATTCCACCATTCCCCTTGATCTATCAATTAAAATCGTTTCATTCTGACTTATTGTCGATTCCCAGAAAGTACTCTATTCCGATCACGTTTTATCAGAACTTCCCACGAACTTTACTCACAGTCTTATATTACTTTGAACCTTAGTAAATATTCTTATAGCACAATATTTTATTTTACAATTTCTTTTTACTACAAAACTATTTTTTTTCTTTTTAGACTAGAAAAAAAAAAAATAGCAACGAATAATAAAAATCCATAATCACAAGAAAATCCTAAACGGATTCTAGATATTGCGTGTAAGCTTCTTACTTGCGATTTATTGAAAAAAGCACTTCTTCACATTCAAAGCAGGATAAAGTTAATAAAAAAAAATGTATAAAAATCTCTATTACAGTTTGGTTAAAAAACTCAAGTCGACTGAATAATTTTTTCGGCTTTAAATAAAATATTATTTCACTTTGTAATACAACGTGAAATTAGTTTGGTAAGCATATGGAGAATTAGAGAGTAATTAGTCTTATAAGTAGTTGTAGAAATTTCCTTTTTAACCGCGAATCTCATTCCAGGAATTCAACTCTCTTGTTGTCGAATTCCAAGGGAGTTTGCATCGCATTTGACCCGATTTTCCCGGAGATTATATCCAGCACTGTCATCCCTTTCGTAGTAGTCATGCGCTTTTACCAAAGCCAGAGAGAAGTTGGTCCAAGTGGAACCAGCAGGGGGTGGTGGTGGTTTTTGGAATGAATCCAGCGACTCTTCAACGTACACACTTGTAATCTGAGGAGCCTTTGCCAAGTCTTGTGCACTCTCTTACCCAAAAAGTATGGGTATCTCTCATTCACTATCAGAGAATACATTTTTTCATTCTCTCTACATCTAGGATTCTATTCATATTTTTTATCTCCCACATTACATCATTATTTTTCATCTGCTAGCAACATTACACAAATCGAAACTCCAAAGTACTTTTAGTATATTTTTTTTTTTAATTTATGCTTCGGTGGTTTTATTTGTGGGTATTCTGATGGATTTTAAATAGGCTGGTGGAATAAAATGGTTTAAATGTTTCTTCAAAGCTATTTGTCGATTGTATACTCGTCAGATTATTCAGAATACAAACCAATTTTGTTGTTGGAATATACACAAATATTTTTTTGAATCCAGGATATAAAGAAAAATAGAAATAAAATAGGAAAAAGTTTTCATTTTGTTGAATATAAATAATTGACGTAGAAAAAAAAAATATAATAATTTAGAGTAATTTTTTTAAAAGTCAAAACAACATTTTTCTTGGATAAATATAAACAATTATACTGCAGGAGTGTTTGAGAAAAATATAAAAAATGATGATTGATGAAATACATTTATATTTCCTTGGTGTAGAATAAAATTTTCTGACTAATAAATTTAATGAATTCAATTTTTCAGAGTAACTCCAATAACTGTGTTATATACGTTGAATGAACTCATCTACCTTTCCATATTCTTTTTCTAGTAATCCTCATTTTATTTTCCATTTCCATTCGTTCGAGTATCATCAATACTATCTGATATATTCACACGAGCTTATGAGGAATATTTTTCTCACCTCCTTAATATGACACAAAGAAGCATGAATAGTTTGATTAAAAGTAGAGGAAAATAAGAAAGTTGTTCTTTTTCAAGTCAGACACTTTGTTACTTTTTTAGATACTCAAAAACACTGTTTTCTTGTGCTACGTACTAGGTAGTTTTCAATTGCTAGAAAGGTCACGTACAGTAGAGAAATGTCTTATGAAAGGAAGAACAATTTTTGTAGATTTTTCATTCCTCTAGATCCTAAATTGTATTGATTGTTTATTTACTTTGTATAGACACTAATTCTAATAACAAACATAAACATCATATTTATTCACTTCAAAGAATCCAGGAAATTTACTCTAAAATTCGTCAAGTTTATTTATTTATTTTAAAATCACTGGTTTTTTTTTTCTTTATTTTTGGTGATGAAATGTTGGTTCCAATCTTCAGTGTTGCTGCAATAATGTTACTCTAATTCCAACTCTAATGTTCAACTATAATTTGATCACCAAAACCTTTGAATAATTTTAGCATATAATTCAGAATAATTCTAGATTTATTGTAAAAGTTTTAACCATTAAATTATGAACAAAATTTTCTGGAAACCACAAATGCCAATACCATCAGTGGTTGCAATATATCATAATGCTTCAATCCTCCTTTCGGTACAGCCTAAGAAGTTCTCACGATTCAGAAACAGAAAACACTCAGTAGGGTGTGAGATCACAGTTGAGATTGATGTTCAGTTCATTTCTCACCACAATAATGTTGTTATTACACACACTTGCATTAATATCTACATTTAATCAATTATTTAGCAATCTTTCTCTATCACTGCAAGTCTTGGTATTTTATTTCACTGCACTTAAAGTGTTTTGAAATGACATCACCCATTTAATTAATATTCTAGTCATATTTAATACATTTGAATGTGTTTAAATTTATTAGCTACTGGTTTGGTATCTTCTAGAATTACTTCAGCATAATTTTAATTTTATAACAATATTCATACGTCAGTGTATTTAATTTTAGAAAATTCATTCAGTAATTGATTTTTAAAAAAAATTTCTATCTAATCTATATCTCTTAGCACGAAGGAAAAGACTTTATTGCTGACCTAAATCGATTCAGAGGGACCCGAAGAGCTTTTTGATATTTTTTTATCTATTATTTAAAGTATAAAGAAACTCCAAGAATATTGGTAACAAAAATCTTTAGAAAGATTTAAGGATTTTTTTTTTTGATTGAAGATTGAACGATAGTTACGAAATGCATATAAATAAAAAAAGGAATTTTGAATAGTGAAACAGGGTCTGTTTGATCCTAGGAACTTTATTCTTTGGAGAGTCGACATAAATTGCAGATTTTGGGGTGTGGAAATCGGATAAGATAGGTCAAAAGCCGGAGACTGGTTTTCTATGCCGGAAGTAATGGTTTATATATAGAATGAAACGCAAGATCGTATAAGATGGTTTATTTTAGCCAGCTCTTAGATTCGCTTTGTCTACTTCACGAAACTTTACAGGTACTTCCAGCAGGCGAGTCCATATCCGAGATGGGCATAGATTAGCAAGACGATCGATAAACCTCGCCGTTCTCTTAAAATATAGAACCTTCTATCTATCTATTCACTCTTCTTCTTGTTCTCCTTTGGGTTATTCTCTTTACTCAACGAGTTCGAATCAAGATCATCCATATCACGTGTAACCATCGGGTGCAATTTATACTCTCTCTTTAAAGGATGAGATAAAAATCGGTAGCCGATGAGAATCAAATGCTCAGAGATTACCCGGATGTCCCATTTTTCATGAAAGTCAATCATATTCTCCAGGTTATTGTTCTCTTAGGAGAATACGAATAAGGAA